TCAGGAGGCGGGCATTCGTGTCCCCTTCTCATTGTCCCCGTTTTACAGATGAGAACTGTGAGTCCCGAAGACAGCGGGCACCTGCACGGCTCCCCCGCACCCTGGCAGCTTTCTGCCTCTGCTCTCAGCCCCCTCTCTCCCCCATGGGCACCCTGTAGTCCGGCTGGTGGCCTCACAGGCCCAGAACGTGGCTTAGGCCAAGAATGGGTGGCCAGGTCGCTGGGGCCTGGAGCGGGTCTTTGAGTTGTGGATGCAGCCAAGCTTCTAGCCCGTCGCCTCCCGGTATGGCAGCCTCTCCTCCCACAGCCCTCAGGGGTGGTCTCCTCCAGCCCCTTTTGCAGATGGACAAACTGAGGTTCTGCAGGTGAAAGCCCTTTGCCAGAGGTACCTGCTGGTGGTGCAGGCAGGATTTGAACCCAGGGCCATCTGAGTTCAGTGAGGCCCTCCAGCCCCTAAAGCAGCCGCCTGGCACTGCCTCCGTGCCCTCGCCTCTGACTCAGGACGCCCTGCGGGCACCCCGGGGGGCCTCGGGGTGGGGGGTTCTGGTCACCCCCCACGGAGGAGACCACACGGCGGAGACCACGGAGAGGCGGGGTGCCGGCCGCAGGTATGCACGTGGGCAGCTCTGGCTGTGCGCCAGGCGCGGCGGGCACCGTCCTCCACGTTCCTCCAGCCCCGAGGAGGGGACCTCCCTCGGGCACAGCGTCCAGAGGGCCCGGGCCTGACGGCCTTCCTCTGGGCCCTGCCCCGGGGACAGCGGCCCCTGAAGCCACATCCCCCACGCTGACCAGGAAGCCATGGAGACCCCCGCTGTGTGCACACCTCGGTCCTTACACAGCCGCCTCGGCCAGAGGCGGGGCCCGCCCTGCAGGGACCTTCCGTGAGGCTCCGGGATTCCGGGGCAGAACCTGAGGCCCTTCCCCACAGAGGCCTGCGGCCCGCGCACAGCCACTGGCTGGGGTTCCAGTCCTCTGGCCGCAGGCCTGGTGGCCCCTGGGTGTGGCCGGGCCACAGCTGGCCACGGGCATTTCAAAGCCAGCCTTCCTCTGAAGCTGTGGTGTAGGGGCGGGGCGGGGGGAATCTGGGCCCTGGGGCCAGCAGGTCCCAGGAATTCAGGGCTTCCTGGGTGGGCTGTGGGGTCCATGGAGGCCCCTAGAATGGTGAGTGGGGACGTATAGGGGTCAGGATGGAGACAGCCCTTTTCTGAGTCCAAAACCCCAGCTGCCGGCTTACTGACCTGTGAACTGACTTTGTCCCTCGCCCCACTGAGGCGGGGACCCCTGATCTAACTCACGCTGCTCAGCCTCTCTGATCCTCGCTGTCCTCCCGGCCTGATCTCCAGGCTCCATCCTCGTCAGCCTCTCTGCCCCAGAACCTGCCGCTTTCTTTCCTGCCTCAGGCCCGTGGCTCTGGCTGCAGCCAGCTTCCTTCTCTCCCCCCGGCCTCAGCTCCGATGTCCCCTCCGCAGAGAGGCCCGCTGGCCTGTCCTCTCCCACCCACCTTCTCCCGTGGTCCTGAGCCCTTGGGGACCGGACCTTCTCTGCCTTAACCTGCAGGGACGTGGGTCTAGCCCGCGGCCGGCACATAGAGGTGCTCACCTTCCGGTGGCCCTCTGGGTGAGAGCGGGGCGCGGGGAGCGTTGCTTCATAATTGCCCCGTCGGACACTTTCCGGCCCAGGCCCTGCACTGAGCGTGTGCACACGTGACCCGTCAAATGTCTCAAAGGGGATGGAGTGCTGACCTCGGTGGAATTCTGAAAGTCACCCAGAGGCTGACTTTTGTGGATTGACACGGGTGCCTCTGTGGACTGTCAGAGCTGGGAGGGAGCTTCCAACTGGCCACGCCCCTGATTTAATGGATGAGAAAACGGAGGCCGAGAGGAGAGGGGACTCGCCCAGTCACGTGGCAGAGAGGACCTTTCCCGGCTGCTCCAGCTAACATGGTGACATGGCCCGCCATCTCTTTTTTTAAAAATATATTTAATTGGCCGAAACCGGTTTGGCTCAGTGGATAGAGCGTCGGACTACAGACTGAAAGGTACCAGATTCGATTCCGGTCAAGGGCATGTACCTTGGTTGCGGGCACATCCCCAGTAGAGGGTGTGCAGGAGGCAGCCGTCTATGTTTCTCTCCCATCAATGTTTCTAACTCTCTATCCCTCTCCCTTCCTCTCTGTACAAAATCAATAAAATATATTTTTTTAATATATATATATATTTCATTGATTTCAGAGACGAAGGGAGAGGGAGAGAGAGAGAACCATCAATGATGAGAGAAAATCCTTGATTGGCTGCCTCCTGCATGCCACACTGGGGATCAAGCCTGCAACCTGGACATGTGCCCTTGACTGGAATTAAATCCAGGACCTTTCTGTCCACAGGCTGATGCTCTATCCACTGAGCCAAACCAACTAGGGCTAGGGCCCATATCTTTAAGAACAGTGAGCATGCTATGGTTTAACCACATTGGGCTGGGTGGCCCCTTTAGGAGCCCCTAGCAGGCCATAACATCATAATAAATAAAAAATATTAATAAAAGCCAATTATCGAACATCTTCTATATGTCAGGCATTTTACACACATTATTTTATGGGACCCTGCAAAGTAGAGTGGTCCTGGCCCATTTTACAGGTGTGGAAACTGGCCTCAGTTAATAGTTAATTGACCTGCCTTGGATCACACAGCTACAAAGTTCTAGAACTTGCACTTTAACCCAGAAATTATTAAGAAGTGCTGGTGATGGCAGCAGTGCTAGTGGTAGCAATAGTCACAGCCACGGCCATGGCCACAGCCACAGCCACAGTCATACAGTCACAGTCACAGCCACAGTCACACAGTCACAGCCACAGCCAGTCACAGCTACAGTCACAGCCACAGCCAGTCACACAGTCACAGCCACAGCCACAGCCACAGCCACAGCCACAGCCACAGTCACAGCCACAGCCACACAGTCACAGCCACAGCCACAGCTACAGCCACAGCCACAGCTACCATCACACAGTCACAGCCACAGCCACAGCCACAGCCACAGCCACAGTCATTAATGGTAAAACAGGACACACCTGTCCTCTCCACACAGCGCTGCCTGAAGTCAGAACTGCGGACACCCTTTTGAGAAGCTCCCGGTGCTCCCAGCAGTGCTCAGTGGCCTCCCTTTGCTCTGCGGGCAGGTAACCCCCTCCTCCAGCACACACACCTTTTAGGAGCAGCAGGAGGCTGGGAGGGGCTGCCTCCCCCCAGCGCAGTGCCGTCAGCGCCACCTACTGGGCCCTGCAGAAGCTGCAGGTGGTCAGCGAGCAGGCGCGGAATGGAATTAGAAATGCTGAAACAGGGCTGAGTGAAGGCAGGGCCCTGGGAAAATCCTGCCATTCCCAGTCTCCTTCGTGTCACACACACAGAGAAAAGCTGTTTGTGAAAGGGAGATGCAGAATTCCCTTACCTATTTATTTTTATATACTTTTTAAAAATATATTTTATTGATTTTATACAGAGAGGAAGAGAGGGATAGAGAGTTAGGAACATCAATGAGAGAGAGTCTCTTGCACACCCCCTACTGGGGATATGCCCGCAACCAAAATACATGCCCTTGACAGGAATTGAACCTGGGACCTTTCAGTCCCCAAGCCGACGCTCTATCCATTGAGCCAAACCGGTTTTGGCTATTTTTATATACTTTAATTGACTCCAGAGAGGAAGGGGTGGAGAAACAAAATGATGAGAGAGAACCATCGATCAACTGCCTTCTACACATTCCCCACAGGAGATGGAGCCCACAGTGCGGGCCTGTGCCCTGACCCAGAATCGAACCGTGACCTCCTGGTTCAATCGAACCGTGACCTCCTGGTTCAGCGGGAATGTAGTAAAACGAACATGCCCCCTCCATTTAACCCTAGTATCAGTAAGAAGCACCGACCCATATAGAGTGCAATTACAACTGATCATGGGATTGGGGACGCAACAGGGATTGGTGGGGACTGAGGGAAAGTGGAGAATACATCGCCCACTTATCCTGACCAGGCAGAACAAACACTAGGAAAAGGTCCCTGGTTGGTCCCCCGTGGTAACCTGTAACCCAGGAAGAAAAAGACTCAGGAACTAACACAGTACATAGATGTGATTCCAAAATAGAGATTTATTCATTAAGAATTATTTAATGTTTGCATAAAAATCACCAATTGTTCCTCATTGGGTTTTTAACACACATGAATTCTTTGGGGGTCCCTCTATTCGCCCCAATACTTTCAAAATACAGCTCTTGTGAGTGCCAGGAGGGACGGTTAAGGCAGCGAGGTGTTTCCTGGTCTCGGCATCGGGGGGCTCGTGGTCTCCCCCTGAGAGAGCACATATGATAGGTAGTTTCTTAGGCTGGCAGCTGTCCCTGAAGGAAATACTTATGCAGAAGAATGCAGATTCAGTCATCTGTGGTCAGTCACTCATGCCTGATAGCTTTAAAATAAAGTCCCCTTGGTCAAGGTCATCAAGGGCCTGCTGGTTGTTTTCAACTATAAAAAACTGTGTGGAAAAGGACAGTGGGAAAGAGTAGGGTCTACGCTGACAGCGCTGTGAGGCTGGGCTGCGCAAGCACAGGGCACACAGCGGTCTGCGCTAAAAAACCCCGATTTCCAATCAAACTCCTCGTGGTCCTTACATGATCCGAAACATCACTGCACCAGATGCTCGTTTTTAAAATGAGGCGTATGACAGGGCCACGCACCACGCGGGGGGACGGGGACGGGAACCCTAGGACTTGACGTATTAGCAACATTAACTGGTTTTTATCACACTGAAATGGAGGCAGCGGTCTTGCTGCCTGGAATTAGAGGTGATTCAGAAGTAGGGTGGTTATTTATTGCTCTGTTAGGATAGACCCCAAAAATGACTTTTCAGAAGCCAGGGCCGTCCCCCGCCACCCCAGCCGGGCCGCGGGCCGCTGGGGGACGCAGCCAGGCGGCCTCGGCCGTTCACAGTGGTCTGGCTCTGCTGGGAGTGCCGGCCGGGCCGCCTACACCTTGTAGTTGAGGTCGGCGTTCATCTTGGTGTACATCTCGTAGATGACGTCGATGGTGGCCGTGTAGTTGACCAGGAAGAGGCGCACCTTCTCCAGGCACTCCTCCTCCGTCACGTTCTGGCCCTTGGAGAGCGCCTTCAGGAAGTCGGACTTGTAGGGCGCGGCGTAGAGTGCTGCCTGGCGGGCGAGAGGGCAGGGGCAGTGTTAGGGGCGACCCCCCAGGCCAAGTGACGGGGCTCCGTGCTGGGCAGGGTCTGGGTGACTGTGGATTGAAAGGGACAGGTCTACCCCCGCGAGGGACGGCAGGAGGGATTCCAGCTCTGGGGACAGACAGACCCGGGTTCAAACTCCAGCTTGTGCCGCTGGTTAGCTGAGAGCCTTGAGCAAGTTCCTTAGCCGCTCGGGGCCTCCGGCTCATCGTCTGTAAATGGGTGGCCGGGCCCCCATCCGACTGGGTGGCCTGGGGAGGACTAAGGGAGGGCTGCGAAGCGCTCAGCACGGCGCCGGGCACACGGGAGGCGCTCAGCTCAGGGGGAGCCTGCTCCGGGCAAGGTGAGCTGCTTCCCTGGAAAACCCAGGGAGCGGACCGCCCATCCGTGGCCTCTTTTGTCCATTAGGAGGCGACACTTGCCTCAATTTCAGGGCCTCCTGACCCTTGGAAAGATGTCAGAGAACCAGGAATTTACAGAATTTCCGAGCCAGCGGGGAAAGTATGCTACCAGACAGAAGGGCTACGAGTTTGATGGGGAGAGGAAATTACAAACAATAACGGTCGTTATGAAAAGAAATAGTAACAGTTTTGATATTCTGAGTGCAAACCATGGGCCAAGCGCCTGGTACAGGCGAACCTGGCGGCAGGGCCCACGTTACACGGTTTGAAAGACAAGGACGCGGAGGGTCAGGTCATACTCTCAGCGCCCTCTTCTTCCCCTGTGACCCTGAGCAAGACACTGAACCGCTCTGAGCGTCAGCTTCTTCACCTGTGAGAGGGTAAGGACGCGCCCACCTCAGGGGGCCAGCCTCACTGGACCTGCTGCTGTTACTGAGGTGGGGGCTGCGAGGTCTGAGGGGGCAGGGAGGCTCCCACGGAGGGCCCTGGCCCAGCCCTGCCCGGTGGGCGGCCCAGAGGGGTCCACGTCCGCCTGTGACGGCACTTCCTGCCCAGGGCCTGTGCCGCGGGGAGAGCAGCCATGGACCCCTCACGTGAACACGCTGGGCGGGCGGTCGGAGCTGCAGGAGGAGGGGTGGCCACGACATGGGAGATGCCAGCCATGGGGCAGGGCAGCCAGAGGCAGCGTGTGGCACCCCGAGGGCCTCTCAGCTGGCGTCCCCCGGGCCCTCGGCAACAAGGCTGGTGCTGAGGCCCGTTTCTAGGAACAAAGGCCAGCGTCACCCCGGCACGAGCCACAGGAGCCCGCGGGCCAGCTTCCTTTTGCAGGAGCCCATGGGCTCGGGCCTCCTGCCCCTCCCGCCCAGCTGAGGAGCTGGGCTGCATCTGAGGGCCGGCAGGCCAGCCCACCATCACCCTGACTCCTCAGGGTCTCGGCCAGGGCTTCTCCCTCCCCCACATCGGGCCTCCTAGGACGAGGCACCTCAATAGAACATGTAGCGTGACACCAGTGTAGCCACAGAGCATCTAGCGTGACACCTGAGTGGCCACGGAGCATCTAGCGTGACACCTGCGTGGCCATGAGCATCTGGCGTGACACCTGCGTGGCCACGAGCATCTAGCGTGACACCTGCGTGGCCACGAGCATCTGGCGTGACACCTGCGTGGCCATGAGCATCTGGCGTGACACCTGCGTGGCCACGAGCATCTAGCGTGACACCTGCGTGGCCATGAACATCTAGCGTGACACCTGCGCAGCCACGGAGCATCTAGCATGACACCTGCGTGGCCACGAGCATCTAGCATGACACCTGCGTGGCCATGAGCATCTAGCGTGACACCTGCGTGGCCACGGAGCATCTAGCGTGACACCTGTGTGGCTACGGAGCATCTAGCGTGACACCTGCGTGGCCATGAGCATCTAGCGTGACACCTGTGTGGCCATGAGCATCTAGCGTGACACCTGCATGGCCATGAGCATCTGGCATGACACCTGCGTGGCCATGAGCATCTGGCGTGACACCTGCGTGGCCACGGAGCATCTAGCGTGACACCTGTGTGGCTACGGAGCATCTAGCGTGACACCTGCGTGGCCATGAGCATCTAGCGTGACACCTGCGTGGCCATGAGCATCTGGCGTGACACCTGCGTGGCCACGGAGCATCTGGCGTGACACCTGCGTGGCCACGGAGGGGCTCTGAGGCGGAGCCGCTCACAGTGCCCGAGGGAGGCCCTCAGCGCAGCGGCCCCCCAGGCGGGAACCCTCCCTGAGTCCCGGGACGGACGCAGGCTCCGAGGGCCACAGCGCAGGCAGGAAGGCGTGGCGTGGAGAGGGTGGGCCCCCAGCCGGGAGCCTCCGGGGCGGACGAGGCGGGCTCCGGCTCACCTGGAAGATCTTCTGCACGATCCAGCCGTGGTACTTCTTGAGCGCCATCTCGTAGGCCTTGGTGGCGTTGACGCGGATGAGGTTGGGGTGGCTCTCGTCCCGCTCCCCGTCGCAGATGCTCTGCAGGAAGACCTGGATGAAGCGGAGGCCCCTGCGCCCAGGAAGGAGACAGCCCGTTAGGACGCCCGCTGTGAGCCGGAGTGTGTGCACACGAAAGCATTTTATCTTTACACCTGGCTTCCATGTAACGTGACTACCCGCTCCACACAGCATCTCCCAAGCACCGTGTCAGACACCAGGCCCGGCTGTGGCTGCTGGACGTGTCCCTGCTGGGAGGTGGGCTCTGGGCCTGCCTTGTCCGTTTCCTCTCCCGCCTCGGCCTGGCCCGCTCTGCCTGGGACCTCCCATCAGCCCTGGCCGCCGTCCCCCAGGGAGCCTCCCTGATCTCCGCTCCGGGCTCTGCACCCTGCATCGGGATCACCCGCCAGACCGCGACCCTAAGAGGCCGTCCTCATTCCATTGGCCTCCTGCTCGCGGCACCATGGGCAGCACACGCAGGTGCCCGCCCTCCCAGCCCGGCTCTGCCCACACCGTGCACACACCCGCTCCTGGTCTCAGCAGCACCCTCTGCTTCGTCCTGAGACACCCGGGGCCTGCGGTAGTGGGTGGGCCGAGGGCAATCCTCCTCCAGGACTGACACCGAAGGCGAGTGGCTCGATGGAGCAGCTCCTCACACAGCCGCCGGGTGTCAGCTACAGGCCGCCTGCCCCCATGGCCACACGCCACCCCGTCCCGGAAGCAGACCCTCGTGCTCCATTTTACCAAAGCAGCGCATGCGTGGGGGAAGAGGAGCTGGCTGTGGGGGTCTGGGCAGAGACGGGGAGGCGCAACCCTCCTGGCTCCAGGCCCCGGCTTCACGGCGCTGCGGGCTCTGGTGTTGGCACAGTTAACCGGGAATTCTGTGGCCGGTAGAGAGCAGCACAAGCTGCCTGGCCTCTCTCAGCCTCAGTGGCCTCGTCTTAAAATAGGAACAACTAGCTGGGACCGGTTTGAACAGTGGATAGATTGTCGGCCAGAGGACTGAAAGATCCCAGGTTCGATTCCGGGCAGGGGCATGTACCTTGGTTGCGGGTACATCCCCGGTGGGGGGTGTGCAAGAGGCAGCTGATCAATGATTCTCTCATTGATATTTCTAGCTCTCTAACCCTCTCTCTTCCTCTCTGTGAAAAATCAATAAAATAAAAAAAAATTAAAAAAAAAAAACTTCTCTATATCTATTAAAAAAAAATAGGAACAATTATATATGGATTCAAGTATTTGCTATGGGGACAAGATGTGTAGTAGCTGCGAGCACTGTCAACTCTGTGGTAAGGTCTTCTAAGTTCAAATGCCTCATCAGGATACCCTGTGCTCCAGACAAGTGATCGGCAAACTCATTAGTCAAAGAGCCGCAGTTTCCCGACCACTGCCCCAGACCACAGGACGAATTTGTGCAAATTGGATAGTTCCTTCTCCCTGAGATGCTGTATTCCTGTCAGGAAGCTGTCATCGTCCACAATCTACCACGAGACCCGCCCTGAGAGGCCGTCTCCCGCTCGGTCCCAGAAGCCCCCGCGGCCTCCTCGGTGAGCTGGGGTCACACCGCTCCTGACGCTCAGCACGTGACGTGCGGCCTGGCCCAACGAGCTCAGCACGACGCCCGCGGGCGCGGCTCCGTGGCTGAGCATCAACCCAGGAACCGGGAGGTTCAGTTCTCGGTCAGGGCACTTGCCCGGGTTGCAGGCTCGATCCCCAGCAGGGGGCGTGCAGGAGTCAGCCATCAATGATTCTCTCATCATTGATCTTTCTCTCTCCCTCTCCCTTCCTCTCTGAAATCAATAAAAATATAAAAAAATAAAAATAAATTTAAAAAAAGAGCTCAGCACCACGCTCAGCGGTGTGCGGCCTGCTCTGCCTCTAACGGTCTGGGACGGGAGCGATGCCACGAGGCGCCCTCAGTTCTCAGCCACGAGGGCATGGGCTCAGGTGAGGGAAACGAGTGACTCCTTCCCGCCAGGGCGGGCCCTCGGGCCACAGCAGGTGGGTGCTGTCCGGGGCAGGGCGGGCCCAGGACTCAGCCGCACAGCCCGCCACCCCGGCTCCTCACCTTTTCAGCCACATCAGCGCCAGCGTGGCCCCCACTTTGGGCCACTCGGCTCCGTACATCTCCTTCTCCGCCTCCAGGATGTTCTGCAGGGTCCGGAACTTGGCCGGGTCCGTGTTGTACACGGCCTTGATCTTCTGAAAGGGAGCACACGGGGTTCCTCCTTGGAAAAGCTGTCCCCGCAGACGAGCGGCCGGCACGCTGTGGGGGGCGGCGGGGAGCGCCCACGGAGCCTCGCTCTCCTTCCCACTGGAGCCAAGAACTGCGCTAGGGCTTGTGCGACAGGAACCCGGGACTCCCCGTTTCCTGAGCCTCCTCCCCACCCCTCCCCACCCCCAGCACTGCCTTCTCTGATGCTCACAGCAAGCCTCATGTGGCGCTGTCATTACCCCACATTGCAGATGGGGAAACTGAGGCTCAGAGGGGCAGTGAGGTGCCCAAGGTGACACAGCGGGTTCCTGTCTGCCTGGCATTGCAGGGGGGCGTGCACAGGCTGGCGCCAGAGGCCACGTTCTCCAACCACAGTGGAGAGCCCTCAGACACCAAGTGTGTGAAGTTTCACCGTGTGGACAAGCAGAATACGTTCTCAGGGTTCAGAGATGTCTGGAAACAAGGCTCTGAGTGAGTCTGAATCACACCTCTGCCATGTCCTTGCTGTGTGACCTCAGCTGAGTCCCTCAACCTCTCTGAGCTTCCTCATTGGTAAAATGGGGATGACCACAGAGCCAGCCCAAAGGCCGCTGGGGTGAAGAGATGAGATAGTGCAGGCCCTGGCAGACCCTCAGTGCCCTGAACTCCTGGCACTGAGGGAGGGCGGGCGGGCCCAGGCACCACAGACTTCTGTGTTTGGTTATTTGGTGGAGCGGACATAGGAACCAGTAGGTCCCGCCTCAGTGGGTTCCGCCTGTGGTCCCATTCGGGCTGGGTCTAGGGGGCAGGACTGCACAAGAGCCTGAGTCTGACTCCGAGGAGCCAGGGCCACGCCCGGCCTGCAGGTCTCCTTCCTGCCTCGGGCTGGGAGCCTGCAGCAGGGAGCAGCCATGATGGGCAGGTTTAGAGCCTGAGTCCGACTCCAAGGCCGGACCAGGGCTGCAGCTGCCAGCCGGACACGTACCGTGATGTTACCGCTGATGTCTGCCTTGATGGGCGTGAACACTGGGGACCCAAGGCAATCTGGGGAGAAAACGAGAAGAGAGGTTAGATTCCCAGGGGTGAGGAGGCCTGCGGACAGGAGAGGCGGCACAGGAGGGGTGATGTTTGGAGGGAGAGGCAGAGCTGATTCAGGTGTTAAAAAGGCTCCTGGGCAGGTAATCTGGCGTGCTGGGCTCCAGGTGAGACCACTTTCCTGCTGCAGGACTTGTCAGAGCCTTTAAAACACAACCCCTTCTGTCCACAGCACCCTCCTCACCACAACGGCGTCTCCCACAGACCCTGCAATGGTGGGCCCACTCTGCATCTGCCATGCAGGCCACGCGCGGCCACTGAGCGCCGGAAATGTGTACCTCTCACTCCTCTGAATGTAAATAGCTACCTGTGTCTGTGACGGTCGTGTTGGACAGCAACCCATCTTGGCCAACAAGGCGGGTCACCGCTAATTAACCAGGAGGCCAGGAGGCAGACCGGGGAATCATGAGATGGGAGGAGCGGGACCAGGCTTATCAAAGTCCTTCTCACTCGCCTGTTTATACGGAAGAACGGGGCTCCACGTTATGAGACTCTGCATAAAAGCCCAGGAGAACGCGCCAGCAGCGGTACCGGTCACGTAACAGACCGTGAACGTGGGGCCTTGACCCTACGCTGCACGCTCTGGCGTGGGTGGGCATCCCTTTCCCTCCGAGCCTCAACTTTCCCATCTAGCAAATGAAGCCACAGAACCGACCGCAGAGGCGCCCCGAGGGTGACTTGAACCAGTCCACCGCCAAGACACAGTTTGTTCCCTTTGGAACCAGAGGCTGCTCTTAACGGGGGGCACCTGGCATTCCTTGGCCTAAAACAGGCGAGTTACTGAGGTGAAGGCCTGGAGACCGGCCGTGCGTGGAGCTCCAGGCTCCGCGGTGAAATGTGAGCAGCCTGTGGCCTGCCTGCTCCTTCCCTCCTTTGTGACCCGCTTGGCAGGCTGGCACGGGGATCAGAGACACCCCCCCCCCCACGCCCAGGTCAGAGCTCCCTGCTACGGGCTTGGCACAGAGGAACCAGACGGGGACTGGCCAGCTCTCCACTGGGCAGCTCAGTGTGGACTCACCCTCAGAGCCTCAGCACACCTGCCCATGCGGAGCCAGAGCCCAGGGGACAGAGATGCCCGGGCAGCCCCAGTGGGTACCAGACCCACAGGAGGAAAACACCGGTGCCCAGGTCCCCTCGCCCCAGGCCGGGCAGGGCCTGGGTGGGCACACCAACTGACTGCATGGGAGCAGAGGGATGGCGGGGGGGATGTCTGCAGGCCAAACTCCATCCAAGGTGAATGCACACCTGGCCAGCCATCTGGAACATTCTGGAACATCCACGCCACATGGAAGGAGGGTGGGTTAGGGATCCAGACACACTAAGCTTGACTCCCGGCCCACCACTCCCCATAGAGCTGTCTCCTCGCTCGGCTTCCTCACAGGGCGAACGGGCAGTCATCACACTTACTTCACAGGCTTGTGTTGGAAGTAAAAACCATGCGGAGAATTGCTCAGCGGAGTGCCAGGGCGTGCACGCCAATGAACGGACTTTGATCACTTTGGTGACTTTGGGTTGTAACCAGGTCTGTCCCACGGGCCAGCAAACGCCACAGGCGTCACCCAGCTCCCACCTCACACTCGGCCTCGCCCCGAACACCTCTCCTCTCCTCCCTCCTGATCCCATCAGGCCGGGCTGTGGGCGCAAAGCCCTCAGGCTGAGGGTGAGCCCTCTCCCCTCAGCGACGGGGCGTCTCTCGGGCCCGTGGGAGCAGACACACCGTCGCTGGCGCTTGCCCAGATGGCAGGAGCTGCCCCAAGGAGCTGGGCTGCGGGGGCTGAGCTTCTATCCTGGCACTCTGGCCCCCGAGCCAGCCTGCCACGCGCTGCCGTGAGGGAACCAGCGACTCTGCCCTTGGATCTCGCCTGACGTGTCCTGGCCTCATCCCTCAGAGGCCACCCTGGGAGGGTGCAGGCCGCTGGGCTGGGAACGTGTCCTCAAGCGCACACTGCTGCTCCCACAGGACGGTGCACCCACTTCCAGAACGCGAGGGAGCCCGGCCCGAGGGGCTGAGGTGGAGCGTCGACCTCTGAACCAGGAAGTCATAGGGACGGTGCCATTCCCATCAGAGCACAGGCCGGGGTGCGGGCTCGATCCCCGGAAGGGGACGTGCAGGAGGCAGCCAGCCAGTGATTCTCTCTCATCATCGATGTTTCTCTCCCTTCCTCTCTGGAGTCAATAAGAAATGTAAACAATCACGCAAGAGAGCCACGATTGCCTCCGCCAGCGACGATTCCCCTCTTGGCGGTGCAGCCTGGAACTGGGCCGGTTGTGACGGGCTGGGGGGGGACCAGCCCTCCAGAGGGCGGCTGCTCTCCGCTCCAGCTGATGGCACCACATGTCCCCTCCGAAGCGCAGGGTCCTGACAGCAGGTGGGCGGGCGGATGGTGAGTAAGATAGTTATGGTAGAATCCAGGCAGCAGGTGTAGGAGTCTTCACTGTAAAACTCTTTCAACTTGGGTTGTATGTTAAAAAGGTTTATATGAAATGTCAGAAAAGGTATCAGGATTGTTTCCTGCTCATTAAAGTCATAATTCTTCCTTCTGCGTTTTCTCCGAGTCCACAGGGTGTCACGGCGATGGCGGTCACACGTGTGGCTGCTTGCGGGCCATGCGTCCCATGGACTTGTGCTGTGAGAGGGCGGGGACCGGGTCACCTTGGTGCCCTCTGCATCCCAGGTGCTGGCGCCGAGCTGGACCCCAGTGGGTGCTTAGCTGGCATCTGTGGCAGGAATGGTGAGTAGATTGTGGAAAACGGGAATCTAGGGGCATAGTTCCTGCCGGGCAGTTTCTGGTAGTTCAGGCTGACCCGAAGCACTGGTTCCAAACACCCTGCAATCAAGGCTGCCGAGGCAAGGGGGGGGGGGGGGCGGGCGGGGCTTGGCCCTCTGCCCCCCTGTCTGTGTGAGGACACAATGGGACTCCCCGGGGCTGCTGCGAGGGGAGTAGGGGTGGGGGGCCGCCACCTGTACATGGTCAGTGCTCAGGCCCGGCCACGACCATGACTGTACCTGCTGATTTCCTTCCTTTCTTTCACTATGTTTTTATTGATTTCAGAGAGGAAGGGAGAGGGAGAGAGAGAGAAACATCAATGATGAGAGTGAACCATGGATCGGTTGCCTCTTGCACACCCAGTACTGGGGATCGAGCCCACAAGCTGGGTACATATTGGACCCGGGACCCTTCAGTCTGCAGGCTCTATCCACTGAGCCAAACCAAACCGGCTGGGCAAGGCGTTTGGTTTTGTTTTCCTGGCAGTGCGCTGTGAGGCCCAGGACGTACGGGTCCGCGGGAGCCGGCCGGCCAGTGGCTGTTACTATGCCGCGGCCACACACAGGACAGAGCTTCTGCTCCGGTGTGCGGGGGGATGTGGGGACTGACTGTGTTTCCGGAGCTGGGAGGGGAGCAGGACGGGGGCGGGTAGGGGGTAGGGGGGGCAGGGAAGTACCCGGAATTCACCTCCATGCGGGACCCAGAGGAAGTCGCCCACAGGGAGGCACCTCTCTGTCCACGTACATGTGCACGTGACGTCAGCTGGGAGCATTGGCACATGAGCCATGTGACTGGGGGAATCGGTGCAGAGCGCCACAGTCAGCCGGTTCTGGGTTCGAATCTCAGCTCTGATGTGACTGGACGGGGTCGTAACCACGATGGGCTCAGCCCTCTCGCCACAGCCCAGAGGTGCTGTGCACAGGGGAGGTGCTCCGAGCAGCTGGGCTCAGCCTGTCTCAGCATGACCCGCCGAAGGTTCTGGTCTTGTGCTTGCCTTTGGCGCCGGCGAGGCTGCCGAGCCCGGAGACGCCGTGGCTTGCCGGGTCACCCCACAGGAGCGGCCCCTGCTCCCTCGGCTCTCTTCCCGAGTGCTCCCTCTGTGAGGTCAGCAAAGGGGGGGCGGGCGGCTCTGCCAGGAAGCCGGAAGACGATGCTCATCCCAAGCTCACGGCCTTCCCAATAGTGTGACCTCCAGCCTGCGGCGTGGACAGAGTGTGACCCAGAGCGCCAGCCCCAGCAAATTGCCCACTTCCCTTCCCACAGAGCGGCCCTGCCCCAGTCACCGTTCTTGTTTTACCAGTTCTACGGTTGGTTGCCCCAGACTTGTTTTTTTTTTTATTGTCAGCAAAACAGGCCTTTAAAATGCCACCCAGAGCCGCCCAGAGCTGGGTGGAAGGCGGGAGGGAGGGAAGGAGGGGACTGGGCTTGGAGGTTTCCTAATCCTCCTCTTACCCCCAGGAAGGAGGAAGATGTGTCAAAGAGAAACAGAGTAAAAACAGAAAACAAAAGAAAAACCAGATAGGATGCCGTCATCTCCACAGAACCGCCCTCAGAGGCGCAGGCCCCTGGGTTCTCGGGAGCGTGTCTGTGGGGCACAGTTTCTCTGAGGCCGCCACTCCGCCAGAGGCATAAAGAGACCAGGAAATCTGATTAGAAACCCAGAACTGTCCTGTGGAGAAGCCCATCACCAGGCAACCAAACGGCACCCCGATGGGCCAGGGGCTGGCGGGGTAACAAGCCTCACAGGCCACGCCCCATCCCTGGTACCATAAAGAGCTCGAACCCAGGAAGAACACCAGGCCATCGGACAGACAGGCCATTCACAGAGCAAATGGAGACCCAGTCTCAATGCAAAATAAAACCAAAACCACTCTCTCCCACCTACCAATCTACTCCCACATCAGCCTTCTCTATGCAGCCCATCGGAATCGAACAGAAGTCCCTGCTTTGGTGCCGGAGGGCTGTGGGTGTCTAACCGGGCCATGGCAAACACAGAGCCCCGATAAAGTGGCCTGGCGATGTCACTGCATGGCTTCACACAGCACAGCTTCGGGTTCTTAATAGAGCTTTGCATCATTTTTAAATTATATTTGTATTGATTTCAGAGAGGAAGGGGGAGAGAGAGAGAAACATCAATCATGAGAGAGAATGACTGATCGGCTGCCTGCCTCCTGCAGGCCC